ACACACACACACACACATACACACACATTAACACACACATACACACACACAAACACACAAACACACACACACAAAGACACACAAACACACATGGTGTGGAGAAGGAGGAGGAGAAAAGGGAAGGTGAGGACAGGGACACGGTAGGGAAATAATGTTCATGCTTCTGTGTGGTCTTTTTGTGCGAAAGTGAAAGAGTATATTGTGTGGGGACTTAATTTGCAACAGTATTTGTGGCTGTATGTGTGATTTGCAGCAAAAAAAAATAACCCTCGCAGTTTGAACCCCCAAAGCAGTGCATCTGTGTGCAGGAGTGCGTCTCCGAATAGTTCCTGGGTGCTCCTAGCCTCCTAGGCAGTCCAGATGATTGTATGACTATGATGTGCTCGTACCACTTCAGATTGCGTCTTTTTTTCTGAAGTCTGGAGGCCCGAGACGCCTACAATCTAATTCGCACTACCTCCTTGGTTGTGATCTCTGTACGAGAAACCGAAGAGTTCGTGGGAATATCTCAATATCATGGTATTTGTATGCGAGATAGATAGAGAGAGAGAGAGAGAGAGAGAGAGAGAGAGAGAGAGAGCATCAGAGCAGTAGGTGTGAAGAGTAAAAAGAACAAAAGTTATCTTTCTCTTGGACAAAGAGCATGGCGTTGAATAATTCATGCTATTCCTGGTAAAAACTAAATGTAAACCATGCTACAATTCCTGCATGCATTATCTGCTAGGTAAACATGCATACGCAACCTTATCAGGAGGACTTTGTATTTCTAGCCTTGAAGACCTAGATTAAGTTTCGTTATCTCGAAAAGCTTGCGCAGTACCATAGCTGTCTATAGTCAAAGGATAATGTGCCCCCCAAAAAACCAACGTGAATGACACGAAGTGGTGGTCATCGAATGTTAATGAAGTATTGCGAATATTTCATTCAAGCATGAAGGCCGTCCTTTTGAAAGCACTCTCTGCTGCATTTTTTTTCTTTTGTCGCTTCTGTTCATTTGGTTTTCACAGCAATTCATAATGACTGAACTGGCTAGCGCCCTGCGTAGCCTGATACAGGAGAAGTGAAAGAAAAGTGCTGCAGGGGGCCAGTTTTCGTTGACAATAAGTCCAGTTCACCCGTTCTTGAAATGGCCTTAGTTCTTCGGTATGTCTTCATACTTGTTGATTCGTTTTGGCATTTTCTTGTCACTTTTCCTCGCCCTGTATCAACAATGACCACCCTGTCTTCGTTGAGCGACATGTCGAATAGCCGTGCTTTTCTTTGCCCAATGGACTGGAATATAAGCTTGTCATTTTGAGGGTGGGTGGGCTGGGAAAGGGTGTGAGGATGAGGGTGGGGGTGGGAATGTTACGTGTCTATGCTTGATCGTCCTTGCGACAAGACCCCTTTCTGGCAGTTTTGTTATGTGATTCTAGATATATTACATTTGTCGTCTTTGTATGTAGATTAAGTAATATGGAAGTCTTAATTCCATAGTCGGTTCATTTAAAGATTTGCTCTTCACTCTCCCCCTACCCCCAACCCAAGCTTTCTGGCAAAGTTGGCATTTTATTGCTGCGAAGCTGAAAACTTTAAAGAAATAAAGACGGCAAACGATATTCATTTTTAATAATATCATATACTGTCATTTTCACCAATCTCGTCTAAAGCGTACATTTTTATCAGCGCTTTTTAAAGACCCATTGTTGATGAAAGGACGGCGGCCACCCCAGCGTGTCTTTTTCATCGGGATTCTTATTTGTATGTGTGTACTATTGTTTCTGACTTTGCCTGTAGGCTAGTGTTACAGGGATTTCGAGAGTGAACACTTACATGAACGAAACGCATAGCTTGAAGCACACCATTTGCATGGCCACAGGTAATTTCTTTCATGATTGTAAAACGTCAAATGAAGGACAGCATCTACATAATTGCTCGTTTTTTTTAGGACAAGCGCGCTAACCTAGATTCTGGGGATTTCCAGAAATCTTGACCTACACCAAAAGTGGGCATTGTTTTACCTATAGGACAAGTTTGGTTTCATTGGTGTATATATTTGTTTGGTTATAGAGAAAACTCTCCTTGTCTTTTAAAGACACTGAACAAGGGACAAAAACTTTACCTTCGATTTTCTTAAAACAGCATTTTTCTGGATAGCCCCCTTGTGCTTAAAAGCGATCAATTGGACATTAATTGAACCGTGCCGTCTTACATCTCTTGTTGGAAGGTTGTAGAGTTCCAGGGTGGATACTTGTGAGAATTGACGGTTCATCAGCTGCCGACTGGGCTTTGGACACCCCCCCCCCCTCCAAACAAGTACGAAGGGGCCATTTTGAGCGTTTTCCAAAAGAAGGCACAATAAAAGAGATAACCACCAGCTTACGTTACTCAATGGACCAAGAAATCGTAATCCCCTGCCAACATCTCTTCTCCCAAACCCTCCTCTTCCCTCCCCACGCCCAAGAGAAAACAAATCTAACTTGGTGCCTCATTATTCAAAATGGTGAAATTGTATAGTTTTAACGCCCCTATCTGTGTCAATCTCCGAAAGGACTGAGCCAGGTGGGAAATTCGTGCAAATTTCCTTTCCCAAGGACACAACGTCGGACCGAGCTGAGGTTCGAACCCCCAAACCCGCAACCTCACGATTACGAGTCCGGTAGCCTAACCACTAGGTCATTATTCAATGTCAACAAAAAGTAATGTAGATATAATTCATAATGGATTAAACCCAGAGACACAAATGAACAACAGAGACTCGAATGAGCAAAAGTTATTAGATTTTTTTTTTTTTAAAATCTTAAAGAGTCATATTAAAGTACGTGGCTGTTTTTGTAAAAGTTAAACGTCCTACTAGGCATAAGGCAGACCACTATAGTGAGATGAAAAGAGACCGATTTACTTAAAATACTCTTATACTTTCGAGTTTCTTGGCAGCAACAAAGAAGAGGTAAAACTGCCATCCTGTTTCAACGTCTCTTGATTACAGTGTCAGTGCTATACTATTGTGGGCTAATGGTCTTCATCCCACCAACCACAATTTCTTTTTCAGGTTCTCCGAGTAGCCACAGCCAAAGGATGTGAATGTCGGGGTCACTTAGTACGAGTAGCCGGGGAAATGCTGACCCGCCTAGGACCTGAAGACTTGTGCATCATCTCCCCGTCTGTTCTCCACGATATTGTTGTGGACGCCGAGGAAACCGGTGATGAAAAAGACAGCACAGCCGATGATAGCAGCAAGGCAAAACGTAGTAGCATCACAGTACACCGAGAACGTGCATGTAAGCTCGTGGACACTTATATGGCTCAAATGAGCTCCAAGGTATGAAACAATTTGTGTATTCACCAAATTGTCCACCCGCTCATTCGTTCATCCATCAATCCCTCTGTCTATCCATTCATTCACCCGTTCGTTCCTGCATCTATCGAACAATACGTTCAACCGCATTATTAAGTCCAACCACACGTCCATCCATTCCCCACTTTTCGCTCAGACTTGTTCCATTAACCGACCTAGACTACAATTGCACCACGCCGAACAGGTTTACCACTTACTTTTCTACAATATAGACCAACTTCGTATTGTTTTTGTTACTATAGAATTAGCAAGTACATTTGTAATTGAAGACCTCGATTGTTTGTTCAGTGTGGCGCGCAACACATCCACGGACCACAAGTCTTTTAGTTTGATTGTTATGCTCATAAAAATTAGAAAATAAGGACCGTAATATTCACACAAATCATCCAAGAAATGAAGATGACGACATTAACGATTATTTTAAAGCAATGATTTTGGCAAGATGATCATGCCTGCTGGAGCAGCAATGAATTAAAAACCAGAAATGCATGTGCATATTCAAAAGCTCTTTTTCTGTTCTTACTACAACACAAATGTAACGCTCTTATATAACAGACTAGCCAACATACTCTACGTACATCTCCTAGTCATACTGTGACAGAGCTGCTACGTACATGTACTTATTTTGCAGGGGGTGCTGACCGCAGAAACATTCCGACTTCTGGCGTCTGCTACCAAGAATTACCCTAGAACGTCGCACGATTCACTCTATGATGTTCTGGAATTTGTACTGAAATCAGGTAAGCCTTAAGAGAATGCAACTTTTCCCCTTATTTATCGTCGACTTAACTTGTAAACATTTAAGACGCTCTAGAAGCCTGTGTTTATCGATGCTTTTAATAATCAATGACTTTGAATAGACACATGGTTTTGAATGGTTTTGAATTTAAAAAAGAATTACACCAGAAAAGGTTACCTTGTCCATGTAGCAAAGTAAATAGTTGAGCGACCCACCAAAAAATAATTAACAATAAACAACAAAACCCCCTCAAACCCCTAAAAGAAAACAAAAAAATCACTGTCGGGAACCACAAGGCGGAGTAAAAATATGATACCCGGGCTCTTAGGGTTTCTGAAACTGGAGTTTTAACATAGAGCAGCTATAAACATGGATAGTCAAATCAAATCACAAAAACACCTCTGTCCATCTTTTGCTCACCACAGAAAAGGACAGTTTATCCCCACAACAGCGCAAAGAACTAGCCGAGGTGGTCAACTTTGACCTGGTGTCGGAGACACACCTACAGCGGGCCCTGGAGGAAGAGGTGGCCCCAGGCTCGGTGGTAGCGGGCAGCGCCATCAAGCTGTGTGGGAGACTGCGCTCAGAGCTGGCGTCCATCAAGTACATCGCAGAGACGCAGGAGGAAGAGATTCAGAAGTATCAGAAACTCGTTACGTCATCTTCAAGTAAGACTAAGCAGTTGACGTCTACTTCGCCCCCTCAGATTGTCGGAGCTAGACATCTGTCTTCTTTTTCTTCCAGAGACAGGAACTTGGATCTAGGTGGGTAGACAGAGATATTTTGTTGAAACGGTAGCTGCAAATTCGAGTAAATACTTACAATCGAGGAAAGAAGAAAGGAGGGAAGAGCAGAAGGGTGGCATTTAGGAATACATGACGTATATATTCAATTTTCTTAACCTTTTTATGTTACTTGTGGTCACGATGGTAGTCAAGATGATGATGATGATGATGATGATGATGATGATGATGATGATGATGATGATGATGATGATGATGATGATGATGATGATGATCATAATGATGATGAGTTAGATGTGGAGGATGATCATGATCATAATGATGATGAGTTAGATGTGGAGGATGAGAGTGGAAGAGGAGGAATAGAGGGTTGGCGGAAGGGTATATTAAAAGTAATTGTTGCTGATGAGTTGGCGGTGCCAGAGATAGTGGGAGGGCTGCTGGAGATAATGTTGACAATGCTGTTAGTAACAGCAAGACTACTAGTGATTTTATTGATGATACTGTAACAAAGAGAAACAACCACTTCAGCGTTTCCCCCAGTCCACTTTTGTTGATAAAAGTTTCATTTTCTTTTTTTAGTTTTCAAACTCAATTGAACTTGGCATGTTATTCCACTTGTTCTTCTCTCATGACAGGCTACCCTGAGAGTACAGACAGATCAAAGGCAAACAAGTCTCCGCGTCATGAAGACGACGACGATGACGACGAAGTAACCAATGCGGACGACCATCTCAGCCCAGATCCCATGGAAGCGGCGCAAAACGTTCTGTCAGCGGCCAGACACAAGCTCGCTCTGCCCATTTACACAGGCTACCGGCCCGCTCTCCTCACTCGCCTGTCGCCAAACACCGTCGGAGGCGGAAGTCACACCCACGGAAGTCACCATTATGGCAGCGGACACAGGGAACACGATATCACCTTGGAGGACGAGTTAGAGTTCAAGTTTGACCGTACGTTCCGAAGCCTGGACCCGCGTGTGCGGCACCAGAGGGTCAGCGGTCAGCCTCACCACCACCATTATCACCACAGCAGCGCCTCTAACAGAACCTACTTTCCGTATTCTCACTATACTAGCAGGTTTTAGGTGGCTGGTCGGGTTTATGATACGAGGTTTACATGGACCATTTTTCATGAATATCAGTGCATTTTAAGGCGGAATTGGGGAGGTACAAAAACAGTGCTCTTCAACCTAGTTCATTAGCCACAATTATGGGGCGAGAAGAGTTTTAGGGAAACTGTAAGAGATGATTTCAATTAAACGTTTAATGTAATACAGCAAAGCATTTATCCTAATATCTGAAAATGAAAAGATTTATTTCTCTTTGAAACACAGTTATGAAATTAAATTAGAAGCACAATTGCGGTAACACATGAGTCTGATAGGTATCAATATTGTTTGAAGCTGTGTTTGAAATTTACAATTAATGTAAAATATTAATGGGGTGATAATGCTCACCGCCAAATGATTTTCATCCCCACCATTATGTCATGCCTTTTCATTTCAATTAGAAATGTTCCTGTATAATCTGTCCAGAAAACTTAATATTTTGCAGTGATTGCAAATGTAGCACTCTAACTCCTATTAACAATGAAGTTTCTCTTCAAACACCACGGGTAAAGCATTGGACAATCAAGTGAAGTGGCACTCCAACGCCTCCGCAGAAAGAGATTTAATTGTGTTTATTATGATGCTCTGTCAGTGCACTGACTCTTATGCCTTCTCAGACAAAAAGCGAGCTTGGAAACTACGTCAGTTTGGGAATCCACTCATGGATTGACTTTAGAATAGATTGTCCTCCCAAAGTAAAGCGACGACTCTGACAAAATCGAATTTTTGTTTTGTTTTGTTGGTTTGTTATACCAGTCTTGCCTATATCCGTATGTCAAAGGCAGGACGACGTATCCATATCCGAAATATAAATTTCTGAAGTGCTAAAGCTACGCAAGTGACTGATCTCAATATTAAATGTCTTGGATTTTTCGCGTTTTTATCAAAATCATGGAATGTACACTTACGTCGCTTTGCCTTTGGATGGCAGAAGAGTTCCAAGGTCTATTTTCCTTTTGAGAGATGGTTGTGCCAGATTGCATTAATATACGCAACAGCACAGATTTAGATTCTGACCATTTTTCTTCGAATAATTCAGTACTTGCAATATCACCATTTTCTTTTAAAATGCGTCCGATGCCTTGTCTTTGAGTGGATGGTGCCATTTTTGCAGTAACACGACTATAATAGTGCCTGGTCTATGTTTGCTTTCTCATTGTGACCAGGTAGAACCACAGCTCGATTCTGTTCGAATAGTTTTGACCTGTTGACTCTCACATATACCAGACAAAGCACTGGAACTGCCAAAGCTCCATTTTAGAATTGCCATAGAAGTCTAAGTTAAAAAAACCACCCCAAAACATCAAAACAAAACAAACCCCGAGATTTTAGCACTTTATCTGACGCTCCTTCTTAATGAAGAGCTTAAAAGGCATTTCAATGACAGACAATATGTGAAGAACCAGAAAGGATTCTAATGCTTCTCAGTTTTTTTCCTCCCCTTTTTGACAGTTAGTATACCATATGCACTAATGATACTTTTTTGTTTTGATCTATTTAAACTCAGAATAGGAGTAGATTCTTTAGGAAACAGGACTTATAGATTATTAGTTATGTTCGTCCAGTTTAGAAGACGCGCTCGAAAACGTTCTTCACCAAAAGAAAAAAAGTCAACAAGATAAGTTCATGAAATCGATCCCAGGTCTTCGAACTTATGCCACCTGCCTCAGCATCAGAAGTTACCGTACATTCCGCTAACTTCACGTTAACACCGAAAGTTAACACACTTTTGGTACCAGTAGTACCTTGCATTGAGCACACATACTTTGCAGTAGACAACTTATAGTCACTTCGCCGCAAAGCCTGTGTGTGTTGATTTTGAGCTTTCAAATGAGAATTCTGCACGAATGAAAAAAGGTTTCCAGTAATCTTAATGATACAATGTAATTACTATTTTAAATTATTATGATTATGAATAATCATAAAAAAAAAGACGAGTAAAGATGTTCATATCAATACTTGGAAGGACGTCGAGGCTGATGTATTTCTAGTTGTAACTGCTCTCGAGAGTCTTACATAAATGACTTCAGGGTGCTGAAATGTGACGCATTGTATGTAAAACCTTTTGAATTCAAACGGGTCAATACCTGACATAGTAGATAAATCTTGTCGTCGGCAAGTCTATCACTTCTGAAATACCGTTTCGCTCCTTGTTTGATAAGCTTTAAACTTAGAAAATCAAACTACAGGACAACGGCAAAAGTGCAGGACAAAGGACCGATTTTTCTAATCTCCTTTCGCTTTATAGTCTTGGAGAAATAATTCTGACGTAGAAATCATGTAATAACCAACTCTTTCACTATCACAGATTTTCTGAAAACTGTTGAAACATTAATCCAGTTATGTTTACTATTACAAGTTTTCAGTGTGAATAACACGATATAACCTCACTGTAAACCGACATACCCATTTCTACTCTCTCTCTCTCCTGTTATGGGAAGCCTCGAAATAATTTAAACTTAGTGAAAGAGATAGGCCTACCATATAAAGTACACATTTATATCTGCTTGCCCTTAGTCAGCTTAAATATTCGTAATTTGTATAATTGTTTCAGCGTTTACCCTAGTCTTTGCCGATGACGCTTTTATTTAGTTTTAATTTTAAGAAAGCATTCTGTGATAATGTTTTGATACATTTATAGATACCAATTTGATGAGAATACAATACCTCTTTTCACTTACAGGTATGCCTTTGTATATCATCTGCGTGTATCAGTAAACAAACTTTCTTTCTGTCTGTCACTATCAGTGTCAATGTCTCTGTCTGTCTGTCTGTCTGTCTGTCTGTCTGTCTGTCTGTCTGTCTGTCTGTCTGTCTGTCTGTCTGTCTGTCTGTCTGTCTGTCTGTCTGTCTGTCTGTCTGTCTGTCTGTCTATCTGTCTGTGTACTCAATTTAAAAAAAAACTTTCCGCGAGAGGTATGAGTGTGTGTGTGTGTGTGTGTGTGTGTGTGTGTGTGTGTGTGTGAGAGAGAGAGAGAGAGAGAGAGAGAGAGAGAGAGAGAGAGAGAGAGAGAGAGAGAGAGAGAGAGAGAGAGAGAGCGTGTGTGTATGTTTGTGCGTGTGCGAGCGCGTGAGCACGTGTTTATGTAGTAAAGGATTAATTTATTACGTCTGTATAAGTTAGTTTCTTATTTGATTGTCGATGTTTTTATGTGCCCTGCTTTCTTCGTGTATGATGTTTATTTATGTGCCTGTGTAATATGAGTGTGTGTGCGCGTGTGTGTGTGTGTGTGTGCGTGTGTGTGTATGTGTGTGTGTGTGTGTGTGTGTGTGTGTGTGTGTGTGTGTGCGCGCGCGCGTGTGCGAGTTTGTGTGTGTGTGTGTGTGTGTGTGTGTGTGTGTGTGTGTGTGTGTGTGTGTGTCGGCTTGGATGTTCATGAGTATTGAGTTCGTATCGTTCGAGGTGGACTTAATAATATGTGATATTTGATATATTCACAAGTACACGTAAATTCGTCTGTTCTTTGTATATCTTGGATACATTATGCGATCCTTACGTATTTGACTAACTACCACAATGACTACCACAATGCACTTTTCTTTTCTATACTTTAAAAATACTGTATATCTTTGTTGGCTATCCCATACACACTTTTAGGGAGGTATTTTTCTCATAAAACATAATATGTAATACCTTATATTACTGATGCCAGTAGCTAGCTGTCCAATTATAGACTCATAAACCTGAGTTCTTTAACAAGAATGTTGTGACTTTTCTTTCTATCTCACAACCTTGAAGCGATTGGTTTTTATACAAACGTTTCTTTAAATCTTTAAGCCTCTATACCTAGGCAAGCAGAAGAAATGATATCTTTGTGAAATCGTTGTAAGAGAATCGTATGCGGCAGCTAATTAATCATGCTACATATTATTATGCATATAACAGTGGCCTGTGTACTGTACCATTTTAAAAAAAAGTATCACCTTTCGCTTTCGAGTCGTTTGCAGTGAAAAACAGTGACAGTTCTGTCCATGACATTTTAAAGTGTGAAACCCCCCAAGGAAGGTGCCCGTTCTAAAGGAGGGATACGCGCAATCTTTGAGCTTGCTTGTACCTCCAACCCCTCCCCCCCCCTCCCCGAGAGCAATTTTGTCATGGCAACTGCCTTGGACAGGACTGCATTTCGACTGTCGATTTCCATGACGTCGTTTTCCAGTATATTTTCTTTTCGTGGGAAATATTTTCCCGATCTTAGATGAGCATTTTGTGATCATACAACATAAGTTTCCATTTAGGACAGATTTGAAGGATAACGCACTCGCTTTTGTGAAAACAGCTGTGTACTAATCTACCCTAGTATTCTGTGGTACCTCTGGCTCGTATCCTTTAGAATCAAATTTTGTGGTAAAACCCAAATCTTAACTTCGTTCTCGAATAAGCACATGGCTTTAGAATTTACTTTGTTTTCTCCTAGTCTCTTCAAAGTTGTGGTCTGACAAGCTTTGCCCCACAACTGGAGTTCACTTTATTTGTCATGTTTGTTGTGATCTGTAATTGCTGGATTACTAATCTCTATGATCTTGTTCATCTAATGATGTTTGTAATAATTTACAAAACGTGTGTGAGAAGTTCATGAAATCCTGCCCGACTCTCAACACAGTTGTAATCTTGCCCATAGTTAAAATAATTTCAGCTTTAAGAATTTAATAAAAGTATAACTTTAATATTGTCTCCTCAAAGTTGTCATTTAATTTTCAACTTGGACTAATAAAACCAAATTCAAAAATAAATCCGAAATATATTCCGTTTTTCTTGTTCTTTTACCAAAAGTCAAGGCAACCTGACGACATGATATTAAATTCTTCTATTCATAATGCGACTTATGCTAAAAACCACCACCAACAACAAAACAACAACAACAACAACAACAACCACAAAAACATCATAATCGCCAACAACAGCAACAACAACAACAACCACCACAGCAACATCAATAGCAACTACAATAACCCCCCCCCCCAAAAAAAAAAAACCCCACACAAAAAACCCCACACACACACAAATTCAACAACCCAAAAACAAAACAAAGCAAAACAAAATAAACAAACTAACAAAAAACCTCTGGAACCCCCCCCCCCCCAGACATACAGGTTGCAGTTGTCTTAATTGACCTGATAGAGGAGGGGGCTGTATCCCAGTTGGTATAATGTTGAGCTATGGTGCAGATGACTCCGATTCGAATCCCCAACGGGACTCTCTTGTAGGCTGCTTGGTTTGTTTGGCGGAGTTTTCAAGGCTCTCGACTTACTTTATACAGTTTTCGGAGGCGGAGGTTACGTAGGCACTGCTTCTTTAATAACCTTACGGGTTTGAAAGGAGCGTGAAACACAAACTTAACGGAGCGTCCCCAATCAGTAGGAGGGATGCCTGTAATCTTTTACAAGGATCAAAGCTTGCTTGCCACCCCTCCTCCCCACACACACACACTCGAGACCGATTTTGCTATAGCAACAGCCATACCCAGGACTTCGATTTTCAACTGTCACGAAGTCGTTGACCAGTTTATTTGACCTTGAAGTTTTTGTTCTCATCATGGGAAATATTTTCCTGAGCCTTGTTTTAGTGCGAGTTTTACAGCTGTAGCAACACAATTAGGTCACACAAGTGCCGAGGAGTAGAAGCATTACAAGAGAGTAACAAACACAAAAAACAGAAGGAGGAGAGATAAGGACGACAGATGTTTGATTGGGAAGAAGGAGCAAGCCACACCAGAGCACTGGCCAACCACCCACTTCCCGATCCTTGGTGAGCATAATGCGATCATGGGTGGGGAGAAACCGTAAAGAATTGAAAGTTACAACGTATTCTCATAACTGAAATTGAATTACGTGCGGGTAATATTATGATTTTGTAGGCGTGCCCCAGGAGGAAGTTACTCACTGAAACCTCATTTCAGGTTTTTATGGAATCAGCGGTTACCAATAAACTGTACTTTGGTCATCCGTCTGCGAATAAAAATAGCCTTAAAAAAATCGCAGAGCACTTATCCCAGCGGTCTAAAAAAAGAAGCAAAAAAGACGTCAAACTAGCAGTAAAATAAAATGGGGATCCAATCGACCAAATTTCAACATGAAGCATATATATTTCAGCGATAGCTCAAATTGTTCTGCTCTCCTTCAGATCTTAGTGATCTAGCATTTTGTAACACAAGCTCTTGAAGAATATCAAGTAACACAGCACAGTGGTAAAACGGATTCCAGATTGGTTGACAGTAGGATAACCTACGCCCTTGAGTGAGACACATCAACCCTAGCTCAGAAACTGGGAAGGCCACAGCGACCAGTAATGGCGAGCTACTATTCGAAGTTGTCAATGCGGTGTATTGTTTGAGTGAGAAGTTTGTCAAAGGCTATGCTGTTAACGTTTCTCGTGTTGACATAATATACAACAAGGTAAACTGTAGCAGTAGTCATGAAGGCAGCTGAGCCTGGAGAAGCCATGTGAGTGCCTGTTTGTCCAATATGAAGAGGTTGGACGACGGGAACCAGCGAAGTCATATCGCTCTCAACATAGGAACCAATTCAAGCAAGCATACAAGTATCAGTGGGTACAGGAATTCAGAATAGCCCCAGAATCCGAAATGAATTAATGAACTAGTCATTCTCAGTGAACTGCATAATTTTTTGTTGCTTTTTTTCGCAGACTGCAACGTATACAACATATTTAAAAAAAGTTTTTTGGGGGGCTGTTATAGCTCAGCCACAAACCATTAGGCCTAATAATTATATTCCTACATCTGGGTTGCTTTACATAGGGAAAGGAAATGGTGTTCCTTTCTTACAGATATCGGTGTAGACTATAGACAGAGAAGCTTGGGACTCATGAGTAAAAAACAATTCTAAAAACTTCCTGGAATGAAAGGGATTTCAAGGTCAATCCGATTTTTAAACATTTCAGGGGTAACTTTTAAGCGGGTGGTCAAATTTAAGACCTCTTAGTTACGATGTAAGACATCAAGAACTTTAAAAATAGTACACAAAAACATGACTAGAAGTCGACTGTTGTAAGTCACTTTACTCCAACGCTTCACGACGCCAGCAAAAACTCTGTTTTCTAATTATATCTTTTACAGGCCAAACTAATAAGATGGAGTCTTGTGACTTAATTGTTTTAAAAATAATAAACCAGCAAATCCACTCACATTCACAATAACATGATAAAATGACCGTTGTTGATCAACAATACTTTAAAAATGTCATATCTAAGTACGAATCCCTTCTTCCTTCATTACAACTCTTTGAAGAGAAGTCAATGGGAAAAGAAAAAGACGGTTCAAGAAAAAAAAGGTATGTATGAAATTCAATAAAAGCTGTGGCTGTAGGTACAATGTAAAAGAAATCCTGTTCAGTCTAAAAAGCATTCTTATATAATTTTCTAGATACACGTCAAACTCGATTAATGCAATTGTTGGGGCTCTAGAGCATAGAGCCGAGCGTGTCTAGGCTGGAATCCGTCCTTCTGCTTCACGTCATGAAGCCAGGACAAAATCTGAGATGTTTTGTCTAAATTGTACACTTCATCCCGACCTTCCAACCCAGCAGCACCGAATTTGACTCTCAATGTATTGGGCGTCGCTGGCTTTCTGGGAGAAGCGGTCCCGTGGGGAGGGTGGATGGCAGTGGAGGGGATCTTATAACCACGGTGTCCGGACCCATCAGACCGAGCACTTCCTGGTGTATGAGCTTCAAAACTATCCGTTGCACCCGCTTGCTCATGCCCGCCTGACTTGCTGCTGATTATTTTACCACCTCCAGAGACTTGCAACTTAATAAAGTCATTAGCAATTTCTTCTGGAGACACGTTTTTCTCCTCAGTTTGAAACATGAAACCTGATATCCGATGTCTTGAAATAGTGCCCGCGGCGAAAGGGTATCGCCCAGCGAGATGGCGACTGCGTTTTCGACGATCTGTTGACTTCACGAAAGATTTAGTCCAGTGTCTGTCTAGGCTTTTTCTTGGCTCCTGTTTTGAGTCTGTGGGCGATGGCTCACGCTCATAACCTATACTCAATGATTTCCGAGTTTCTTGCTCAGCGGTCCAGTTGTTGCCGTTTATCTTTGGCTGGGAAGGATGAGCGTCTTCGTTTAGCTCAAGGTAAGGTGGACGGGACTCTTGCGATATTTTTGCTTCATATTTGTCATAATGAGATCCGTTTTCCTTATCGTTCTCTTGAAAACACTTTGCACATCGCAAGTCTGGACTATGCCTACAGTTTGAAGACGAAGACGTTGGCCTTTCCGTCTTAGGAGCAAGTCCCTTCCCACTCACAGGTGGTAGCGTTGCCATCTGGGCAAAACCAAGCAGTTTCTTTAAGTTCTGTCTCGCAAATTCGTTCAAAGTAGGAGCAAAATGAGGTCTCACTTGGTGAGCTGATGAACTTCTCACAGGTTGGAATTTTGACTCAGAGAGTGATGACTCAGGACTGTCGCCCCCAAAAGTAACTTTTTTCTTCTCTTTTCTTCTGTCGTTTGACGAATGAGTGACATGATCCTTATTCTTATAAAACATTTCTTCAGGCTGGGAAGTCCTTTCGGGTGACGTTTTCAGAATTCCTTTAATCTGACTACCCCCCGCACGCCTGAAAATTGTCGGCTTTCGATTTTTAGCCGTCGGTAGTGAACTATCAAACCAATCTTGAGGAGACACTGGGTCGGAGAATCTGGTGCGATGGGTGCGGGCACTTGATACAGACCGCGCACTTTTGGGAGCAGAGTTTACCTCGGCCCGAGTATTGTCAAAACCCCCAGAACTCCCGTGGCTGTGTTCCTTGTACGGGGAACGCCAATATAGAGCCATGACTGAAGTGTTGACTATCTTTTCACATTTATGGCGCCATCAGGATTCTGGAGAAGAAAATAAAAAGACAAGATTCAGTCAATCAAAACAGAGACATATTTTTTAAACATGGTTCTTGGGTTATTTCATAAACGTAGGTGCAACCCCCCCACCCCCACCCAAACTAAGCCTAACCAAATCAAACAACAACAACAACAAACCATTAAAATATTAAGAAAAAACAACTAAAAAACTCTCAAAAGCACGGAGGCCTAGGCGGGCGTAATGAACTCTGGTAACAGCCCTAGTCTTAGAATATTTATGCACTGGCCTTTTGTGTTCTTTGCCTCCTGTCTTGAATAGTGTTTGCAGCAATACCGCTTTGTTAATGTCATGAATGAGATGAAAGCACAATACGATAGCTGACACGTCGCAAAATGCATTGTGGGTTTTATATGGGTCTTTCAGTTCAAAAGAACCCATACACTTAAACTTAATTAGAGTCTAACGCATGCAGTCTTTCATTATTTTTATTTAAGGTTTTCCCGCCCAGAACAACTTCTGGGCATGGGACCGACACAAGAGGAGCAAGAACTTTATGCATAGATTGTTGGGCCTAGCATACAGATAATGTATGTTATCATAAGGATGTGCTTGAAACTAAGTAGCTCGTGCCATTTCCACAATTTGCTATTAATGTGAATATAATGCTGTTCTCAACTAGATAGCATTTCAAGCAAATAACGATGTATCCAGGGCAGGGGACGGAAAATGGATTGAACTGACCTGACTTTATGTTTGCTAAGTTAAGCTTAATTTCCTTAATGCGCCCAAATCATGTATCGTATGAGAAACACCACTGTGTTTCTTGTTATCATATGTTAACCGACCAACACCCCTCCCCCAGTCACCTAGAAACTATCAGAAAAAGTTAGATTGAAACAACAACAACAACAACAACAACAACAACAACCAAGCAAAAACAAAAAAACCTTGGCCCCACCCCTTCTAAATATAAGTCAAAACGACCCCCCCCCAAAGATAAATAACCAACAACGACGACTACTAAAAACCAAAACAAACAAAAACAACAACCCCCTCCAACCTATCACCACCCCGAAAAAGAAAGACAAACAAACGTACCCCCTCCCCCCAAAATCAACAACAACAAACAAACAAACAAAAACAACCCAAATAACAACAACACAACAACAACAAAAGGAAACAACACAAAAGATTCTAACCTCAATATCGAACCTATGTCAACGAAACGTTAATTGTGGACAATTACGTGCATTACAAAGTACCAGAGAAAGAAGACGCAAACTATTTTCATTGAAGCCCTTTCGAGAAAGGGGTTGGAGCTGCTGTCATTTGTCAACCACTTCTAACCTTTCTGTCTGAGGTGCATGGGGTTCAGGATCGTAAGTAACACTCTGACAGGCAGATTGTTTGAGGGGCAGCTTTCAGGTCAAGAGGTTATATAATAGGTTTAAAATTTTGTGGACACAGTGCTCGTGTCTTCAACTGCCAACACTGATCAGCGAGACAAGAGGAAGAGGGTGTGTGTGTGTGGGGGTGGGG